ACCGTCGATCGCGCTCAGATTGTCGGTCGAGGTGGTCCACTTACTTCGCACTAATGTTCATTGCTTAACGACTGCGATTTGAGTAACATTCTATTACGAAATAATCGTAGTCATAATTTTTAGACACGAATTAAACAGTGAAACAGTTCTCTTCCAATAAGTCATTTTTTTTTAAATAATGCATTTCCATTTTTTATTATTTTCTATTGATAAATGTTAGTGAAAGTAAAATAACATCTCAAAAATTTTATAAACGTCTCCGTCATCCTCCGTTTCTCGTGACTGAATTATACGCCGCTGTATCCGATCGCTATCGCGGAGGTCGACGCTTATGACAATATCTTACGTCGAGATGTGTCGTTGCGACAGCACACACCTCGCCGAAATATTACGCATCTGCTTGCCAGCACAATGGCTGTCGGTACAACGCGGTTCGTACCTTGTTTCATATATGAGAAAGGAGCTGCTCCTCGCCGTGGCTCGACCGACGGTTTAGCCGAGGAAGTTTAGCCACGGCGATGTCTTGCCGAAGGATAGGGCGGAAGCATTGGGACGATTGCGCGCCGTCGAGGAGGTCGTAAAGATCATCCACCTTCGCTCTTGCGAGCCGCTTCACTCGCTCGCACGTCATAAACCATCTCCGCAAGCCTCTCGTCTATGCGCTCGGATACGATCTGATATTATTACCGCGATCCCGTCGTGTTATATAAAATATAGCCTCTTATACACGGCCCTAGGCTGTTTCGCGCGTTTCCGGGAGATTGATAGAAGTCGCCGGAGAGAAATGAAAAATGTCGCTGTTCGTTCGGATAATCGTATTTGCAGGAGAAATAATCGAATAAACTTTTTTAATGGACAGTGTCGAATAAGAGTAATGTACTCGAATTATCCTCGCTATTTCTTTGCTGGGAACTTGTTTAGAGGCGAGTGAATAAATCATCTATTAGAGAGGAAAAATATTTTGATATAATTCGAAATATAATTAAAGATCTCACGTTTACGGTTAAGAAAATTTGTGGAAAAAACAACACTTTATGCATATTCGTGAAGTCTAATAATTATTGAACGCACTAGAGCGAGCGGTAAAACGAGTTTGACGAAGAGTAAGTCATTTGTATCGCGCGTTGACTTGCACATTTTCAGACACAACGTCGCGCAATTTCATTTCATCAAGATAGCTCTCACCGACGCAAACAAAGTGCTTCCAACACGGAGTAATTAATTACGGTGATCTGATTGCACGCGATTAATCCTGCCGACTTTCGAGCGGATCATTAATTAAGGGTGAATGAATGTCCCGGGGTATGTAGGCACTCCCGAGGACACGCTCATTTATTTGGAATAATTTAGTTTAAATGAGTAAACCGTCCGCGTGCGCGGGCGCCCAAAGTTCACGGTCGATATGGGAGGCTGGACACTCGATTTCGCATCCGAGATATGATCGATCGTTCTATTCATTCGCGAAGCAATTATTACTTAGCGATATTTATACCCAATTTACATACTATTTTTGCACGATTTTACGATACACGGTCCCTCATTCATCAAGAGCGGAGCTTTTAATTGCCTCGGGAATCACCTGCCGCGACTCGCAGCGGCTCGAGGAGACTAGATGTAATTTCAGGACGAAATAAATAGCGTATTTCATTTTTTTTTCTTTTTCACCGCGCTTGTTGGCAAACTCTCTGAATAAATTCCTGTAGTTTGTACGTAAACAGCGGCGAAACGTAATTATTATTCGGTACAACGCAAGCAAGCTTTCTTTGGTCTCGTAACTCCGTGCTTGCGCGCCACGACGCTCGTTGAGCTTTTTATTTATACGGCTCATTGTGCTTCTCTCCTGCAGTACAACTCGAGTTTTCTCGCTGGTTTTCTCCTCTCCACCGCCCTTCGTCTTCGCGAATTCAATTATTTTGTGTGCCTCACCGAAGAAAAAGCGCGGTCAAGGCGTGCTTGCGCCTTTCCTCTCGCGTTGCACCGACTTTTCTTCCCTTTCGTATTCACGAGTTTCGCGAAGTAAAGCGAAGTAAAGCTTTACTTAAAATGCGGCAACGTTAGCCGGATGTTTTAATTTGTTTGCGCCGCGTCGAGCTAAACCGCGTAACCGCTGCACTCTGTTGCGCATAAAAAGGCTGCGCGATCCACCACACCAATCTCTCCGCGGAATTCCTACTTTGTTATTTAATTATACGATCACGACTTCCGGTGTATTCACATTTTGATTATGAAAAAAAGGCGGAGGAAAAAAAAAAGCACCGCGCTCTCGCACAGCGCTCTCGCGTGATTTCGCCGTTCCCCACACCTGGCAACCTTTGTCCATAAGATCAAGCGGTTTAATAACATGATTCAAGGAGCGGCAACGGTCGGTACATTAAGGTCAGGTGGGTCGAAGTATATAAAGATAATAGCTCGCCACCGATCGACCGACCGACGATAGGTTTCGATAGATCGAAATACGTTGTAAAGCTCGTAAGTCGTAACAAACGCGCTATTTCTATCGGAAAGCATACCAACTACCTGAGTTAAGTTAAACGTTATCTTTTTATTAAAACAGATTTAGTTCTAAAATTTTTAGAAAATTATCGAAGCAGATCTACGGTTATGTAGAAATAATTAGTTAAAAAATCACGAATTTTTTCTTGACAATCAAAAAGAATAAAGATTTAATATTGCGAAATTTGAATGAAAGAGAGAATGAAAGTTGAATATTGCGACAAATCAAATTTTTACAATACTGTCATCGTCATATCACGTTGCGGAGACGAGATGTGTCGACGGCGACGACGCGGGCACACCGCAGCGTGACGATATGCCTTAATGATGAGATCGAAGGCAAAGCGCAAAGCGGCGATCGGCGGGACCGGCCTGGCTATATCGCACACACCGCGCGGCGGGGTCAGGCGGGTCGCAGCGCGTAAAAATAATAATCAATCGAACGACCGGTAAGTGAGAGCTCGGCAATTACGCGGTGGCGGCGGTGCCTGTGCTGCGGTTTGCCCCGGCCCCGGCCGCAGGCGAGCTCCGGGACGAGAGCGGAGAACTTCCTTCTACCGCCTTTAATTCGCCTCCATCTCCTCCGTGCCATCCCCTCCCGCCCCGCCGCCGCCGCGCGCGCTATCATAACGTAACAACGCGAGACTCCCTCGCTTTATTATTAAAAGTTAAAATTCCGGTGGGAGCCGGAGCGATCTTGTGGCGAGCCTCTCTACAGGCACTCTCATCCTCTCGATTTACTCTTCTTTCTCCCGTCTCACTTCATCTCCGTCTCCATCTCTTCTTGCCCTCGCTCGCTCGATTCGCGTTCTTCCATCCTTTTTTTTCTGCTAACTCGTACAAACGTTTATTGGCGCGATACTCTGTGTTCATAACGGCCGCACTGGTAGCAATCGTGTATAACTCTTCTGCGTTCTCGGTGCATCCCCATGGATAATCGTATTACCGTCTATCGTGTACACCGCTTCGAAATGTCGAATCGAAATTCGAAACACGCGGCTCTTGTCTTCCGCCTTTTAGCCGCGAACGATGCTCCCTCTCTCTCTCTCTCTCTTTCTTTCTTTCTCGAAATTTTTCTCGCAATCGGTGGAAACGTCGGCGTGTTTCTTCTCACACGTTTATCGTGATTCGACATGCATAGGCAATGTTTTGAATTAAAGGTTTAGAGGATTACAAGCTATCAAGTTTTAATTAAAGCAAAATTTACTGTTTTTATCAGCGGCTTTCATTGCCGGGATTTCACCGTGTGGCGACGTGTTTTGTGGCGAGTATATGGTCTCAATACATCGGCAATTTCCCCCGCGTTTCGACAACGAGTTTTTCTCGCCGGTTCCGCCTGACAATCGGTATTGTCGGAAGGTGGTAAAACTGTCCAGCGAAGAGTAAAGAGACCAGCACGAGAACGACAATGTGTACGCGCGTTTGCGAACCATGTGAGTTACGCGGCGCGTCGCGTCGAATTGCTATTTACTCGCAGACTGATTAAAACGCGCTGACTACGCTCGACGTTTCTCTGTGCAATATTTTTAAACGAAACGAGAATTGGTCGCAAAATTTTCAGTTAATGAAAAAATATTGACGCAAGTAAATATGGGAATTCGAAAAACCGCGTTGGACAATAGAAACAGATTGTTAAACAAATTTGCTAAATGTCGGTTGAGAGAAAAGTAAACTGGTGATACAATTTTTTCATACAAATATTTACAATTGTTTTACAAGAATTTATCTTTTGTATTATAATTTTATTGACAAAGAAAAATGAAGATTTAAGATTCTCTACGTTTCATATTTTGATAGAATCTTGTTGCGAGGAGTAAACTGTTCGGAGAATGTCGATCGAGGCGGGATATTTTTGTTCGCGATATCGTTCTTTTTTTTTCTTTACAGTTAACGACGCGGTAACCCTTTTGCGAACGAAGGACGCGGGAATGATCTGGCGGATGGCGGTTCGCGCGATTACATATTATGCTAAACACGCGAAAATGGTTTTTTAAATGGAACATCTACATTTATGTAGTCAAGCTGGAGCGTCGTTGGCCGGCGCGGCCGGCGCGGACGGTCAGAACGGAGAGCAACGGTGAATTAAATGCAATTTTCGTCCACCGAGGCATGCATAACAAATTGTCGAACGTCTTTATACTTAGAAACTGCGTGCGACATTATGCACGTAGCACGGGGGCAGGACGCTATTTCGTCGCACGGTCGATTACAATCCGATTATTATGCCTGCATAATGTCCACTGTCCTCTCTCTCTCCCTTCGTACGTGTAAGCACGTACTCACCTGCACGTAATACGACGAGAGTAGTGCGTGCGGAATTTCTAAACGAATGCAATTTAAAAAGGAGCAATAAGGCAGAAACTGGCTACCGCGAGTAGTGCCGCCACCGCCGCCGCCGCTGCCGCTGCTACGCTCGATCCTTAAAATTGAAAATTAAACGTTTCGTAGCGCACAGTGAATTTTGAATAGCATGTCTAACCTGTACCTTCACGCTTCTTCTGTTTCAGGATCCGACTTCCGTGAGTATAGGTCATTAAGTTACCGCCAAATGCTACAAAGTAATGGGTTCGGCCCGAGAAAACCGAGCCGATGGTCAGCAATTAATTGCGGGCCGTCGGTTTCTTCATAAACACGAGTATTCGTAAAACGTTTGCCGACCGGCGAGAAGTTTTGCGCGTATCAACATGCATGTAGTTTACATTGCTAATCGTTGAAAAGTATGCCGCGCTGAGGCGAGGCAAGAGTCGAATCGCAGCAATAATCTGTAATTTTAATGTACGGCAAAACTTCTCCGATCGAACATTAACGTAATTTTGTTGCATACGTATTGGGGATTGACGCTTTATCTTCGTGGACATCGTTGCGTGGTCATCGGACGAACCGCAGGGCGTAAGTATCTTGATACAATTTTTTGAATATATTTAGATACGAATACAATATATGAAAATTAGCCGTACCTTTCTTTCGACATTTATTGATGTAAATTGCTCCGAGATACACTGAATGGTACTTATCTGCAATTTTCGCACAAGTAATTTTCGCACAAGCACGTTGCATTTCAGAAGTTATCCGGTTTAAGGGGCCCATACACCAACCAATGATTATTATTCCATTTCTGCCTGTGGTAATGAACGAGGAACAGTCAAGAATAATTATTAATCGAAGTAATAACAATGTTCGCAACATGAAATGCGAATTTAGCACATACTAATTTTGCAAATTATTAGGTAACTTCTACCTGCTGGTATCGCGCAGCATTAATTATACATGTGATGCAATAAGATTCTCTTTCTTCCCGACACGAATTATCTCATTTTTCTCGTGCAGACCGCGGAAAATATACGCACATTCGTGAGTGCTGTTAATTTTTGAAAAACTGGAATCTCGTGATTCCAGCATAATCGGCCATTAACGATGCCGCGGTCGATGGTCGCGCGACGGCTGTACACTCGTCCCGATAAATCGAAGAGAAGGCCCCGCGAGCCCCAGGCCCCGAATACGAAATGACGGGACGGATAACTGACATCTCTATAGCAGTAAAACTGCGATCGTGGCGCTCGCGTCCCAACGGGGGTCCTCCAGACGTCGTCGGAGACATCCAGCACCGCGGGCGGCCATTGTCTCAGAGGGGTCCCAAGGGCCAACCCCGGTCTTGACACGCACGAGGGGGTCGTAGCACCCCGTCGCGGCCCTCACAAAATTAATAACCGAATTTCGGCTATCTCTGCCCGGGCCAGAAGTTATCGCGCGCGCGTATGCCCACCTGAGCCTTCCGCCACGGGCCCACGACGCGGCGATTCGAGTGTCGCACACCCACGCGACGCGCACGCCGAAAACGAATGCCGGTCAAGTGAGTTATAATAAGAGTGGGCGAAATTTACGGTTTTATTTATTATTGGAACATGTTGAAGGGGGGTGCAGAAAGATTTAAAGGGAACGAGAATTTCGTCGCGCAATCTTACACCGCAATCGTATTCCAATTATGTGTGTTACTTTAAATGTCCAG